ATTCCCAAGAGAAGACGTTGCCTATAAAAGCCTTTACAAGGGAACAATCGATTCAAGCCCGCAGGCACCAACAGTCACTTATGCTCATGGTGACATGAAAGTGTTACATATTCATATCCCCTTCTTAAAAGCTGAGGCTGCATGATAGGCCGAGAAAGACCAAAAGGTCTTGCACATTCTAGTCTCTCTAAGAGAGGAGAATGATGCTTGTCGTACCCCCCAAGCCGACAATGCACCAAATCAGCAAAAGGTATTGCAAATACCTAAGGTCTTACATATTGAGAAGGACAACGATTGCCTCACACCTCAAGCCCCCCTTAAACAAAATCCCCCTAGAGTTCTGCAAATACTTATGTTCTTGCATATTGAAAAAGACAATGCTCACCTCACACCCCAAACTCCTCTTCAACGAGACTATCAAAATCTTGCAAATCCCTAAGGTTTTGCATATCTTAAAAGATAATGCTTACTTCACTTCTCCACCTTCTCACCAGCAAGATTCTCCCAAAGTCTTGCGAATACCCAAAGTCTTGCGCATTGAAAAATGCAATGCTTACCTCACTTCTCCACCTACTTACCAGTGAGACTCTCCCGAAGTCTTCGCGTGTGAAATCCGACCGTTTATCACGCACAGGACCAATGGTAGCCCTGGACCTTACGCACGCGATGGAACTGGGCTCGTGTCAATTCGATGCGTGAGCACCGTGAAATGGCCACTCGAGCGAGGCATGTCACTGTTGAATTTTCTGCAACTATCTTCACGATCGCCAATTTCTCTCTAGTTTTTCTCCCCTACTCGGGCATCATCACGGGTCATGCCGCATATCAAAACGCTCGTCTTGACGAGATGAATATGGTCACCAAATTTGAGCGCGATCCGACTCACAACAAGTGAGATACAAGTCTTCAAAATTGTTGCTCGTGGTGTAGGGAGGTCGCACGGGGATAGCGTGCATCCTACCCTTTTTTTATGTTTCACCCATAACTTTGTCTTAGAACGTCCGTTTAAGCTAAAACTTGACCCTTAGGGGTTTTCGACCGTGCCCGATCTAATGGCGGTGGTCCCACGGTTGTTTGACGCACCGAAAATAGAGTTTTAGTTACGGGGTCCGTTTCAGGGTGCTAGAGGCTGATTTTTTGAAATTTCTTCTTTGTCTGCGCTGCCTTAGACATGTTGGATTGCGATGAAACTTGGTAGGTGGCCTTTTTGAGTGCTTATGAAGATTTTGACCCGTTCTAGGGAAATTATGAGACTGTCGGGAATTCCACTGTATGTCAAGGCTTTATTGATCGACCTCTCTTTTATTCCGCATCGGGGACTCAAGGTGCTGAAAAATGTGTTCAAACAGCTTGCCCCAGCAAATGTTGTGCTTCGAAAAAAGCGAGAAGGACAACATTCAAAAAATTTCCTTCGACTTTATTACTTTTTTCTTCCTAGCCACAAGACCACGTGAACACCGAGGAGATCCACGCAATGTTGTAACTAAGATGCTCATACGTTTGGATATAATGTACAAGTCCATTTGTGGAGATTTTAGGGGGAGAAGAGACTTTTGAGGGATCTTATCAAAGTCCTCACCCTCGTTTGGACTGTTTGTGATTCTGACTGCTGAGGATTTTGTACGAACCTCGTTGGTCAGAATCAGGCCCGTCTAGCAGTCGAGTGCCGTGCTGAAGGGCATTTTTTCCATTTAGTCTGAGTTTGTTTGTTTTGTTGTTTGTTCTTGATGGTTTGCTGAAAGGCCTTTAGTTGGCATTCGTCTGCATTGTGTACCAGAATGTCCTTGGTGGGCAGGGTACCTCAGTTTATCGAGGTGATTGGCTTTGGGTATAACCCCTGCCTACTATTAGCAGTTTCAACAATCAAGATACCTCTCTTCTTTGTCCGAGGCGTCCCCTAAGGGCTCAATCCTATTGTTGCATAATAGGTCCAAAGTCTGGCTGACATGGCTTTCTTGGGGCATCTTCAGCATCTTGGAATGCGTTAGTGACCTCATGGGAATAGTGCTCTTCTTCATGAGACTTGTCTTGCCGTCTTGGCGAATCTTCTATCCTTTGAGTCCTTTTTGCGAATGGACTCAGGCTGTCGGAATCTTGCCTGATGCTCGTATTATTTGGTCCTAGTATTGTGATACCAGGGATTTTTCTCTTTGAATAGGTGTTGAAGCCGTCTATAGAAGCGAGCGCTGCATCAACCTGCTTATTGGTCTAAGCGTCCTTTGCAGATTTTCACTTGGACTGGGAAGTGGCGTCGTATAAACGGTTTTCACCAACTTCCTTTTATTTGGGGCTCCTTTACCAATGACCCTTCGACCATGTCCACTCTTTTCATCCATTTTTACTCACGGTGCCCTTTTCGGGTTTTCACCGTGCCCAGGTTTTTATTTTACGAAACGCTTTTACTCATAGTTTCGTGACCATGCCCGTCTGTCTTTTTTACTCATAACGTTCCCTTGTCTAAGTATTCACTATGCCCGCTATTTTTTCCTCTTTTTTTCTTTTTTTTTGAGAAAGCGTGTTTAGGGTCATGTCTTCGAGACCTGTGCGAAGCCTTTTAACATCAAGCGACCAAGACGTGCACTACAGTTTAAGGTCATACAGCTGGACCATAGTGGAGATGGGTGGTAGTCTGTTGAGATCATGGAATGAGTATGGTGGTGGTTTTGACTCACTTTGGGGAGATGGCACGAGACTACCTATAAAAGATGGATGATGTATGAATGGTGGGTGAAAAGTGGTGACCCACTAGCTGACGGCGAGTATGGATAGTGGGATGGCTCGTCGTTTTGTGAGCACGGGTGAAACTCACTCGGGAATGATGAATGGTAATGACGAAAGATGGATTTCTGAGGGGTTGATAAAGGTGGTGCGCGCACACGAACGGGTTGGTTAGGGAAGGCATGCGTGAAGACACATAAAAGGCATGTACGCGTGTGTGGGGGTGTGTTTAAGGTCATGCCACCGGGACCTGTACAAAGCAGTTTATCGTCTTGCAGTCAGGACGTACACTATACTTTTAGGCCATATAACTTGGACCGTGGTTATGCAGTTTAGAGTCATGCAGCTTGGACCTCAGTTTAAGGTCGTACAACTAGACATCCGCTACAATTTAAGGTCATATAGTTCCGACCATGGTGCTAAGCCTTTTAACGTCATGAGGTCAGGACGTGCACTATGGTTTAAAGTCGTATAGCTTGGACCGTGGCTATACAATTTAAAGTCATACAGCTAAGACCATACAGTTTAAGGTCATGCAACTAGACCTCCGCTACAGTTTAAGGTCATATAGTTTGGACCATGGCTATGCAGTTTAGGGCGATGAGCTTTTGCCGTCCATGACAGAGGAATAAGAAGAGAGAGAACATGGACGGCGATGAGCTTCCGCCATCCATGACATAGGACTAATAAGAGAACTTTGACAAAAACCTGGCCTACCACTCGGGTTAAGGCCCGACTCACTGTTTACATCCCAAGAGTAGAAAGACATCATACCCAACGATAGGCTCTGCCGTGCATGAATAGAGAAGAGAGAGAAGAGAACAGGGAGAGAGAACAAAAGAGAGGAAAAAGAAAGGAAAGATAGGAGAGAGGGAAGGAAAATGAATAAGATTAGGGAAGAAAGAGGAAAGAGGGATATAAAGGAGAAGAGGAGAGAGAGAGATGAGAGGAGAGAGGAAAAGAGACGAAGGAGGAGAGATAAAGAGTGACGAGAGAAGGAGAGAAAAAAGATAAACGAGGGGAGGAGAGAGAAAGAGATAGATGAGGGGAGGAGAGAGAAAGAGAGAGACAAGGGGAGGAGAGAGAAGGAGAGAGAGGAGAGGAGAGAGAAAGAGAGAAATGAACGGAGAGAGAAAGAGAGATGAGAGGAGAGAAAAAGTTACTTCACCCAAAGGGTACCAGACTTTTCCTTCTCTCTCCTCTCTCTCTCTCTCTCAAGAGTTGCCCATCATTTCAATGCGAAAGCTCCCAAATTTTATTCATAAGATTGAAGTATGAGGGGTCATTGGACAATTAGGTTTAACATGTATTTATAGAATTGGGCCCAAACATGGGTGTATGCCCAAAAACTATCCTAATTGATGATAATTACAATTTATTTGAATTAAAATAAAATCTAAAAATGATTGCAAAAAGGCTATTTTGCCCTACCCAACAATATATGAAATTCTAAAACAGTCCATGCTGCTGCCCTAGAACTTGCGTGATCTTCCATGAATGATTCGAGTTTGCTCCAGCATCTGTTTGGCCGAAAGATAATTGCTTTCTGTCGGGCTCGGCATGATGATCAATTTGATACCAACTTCGAACTACGACTAGCGGTTTTAGGCCACGATCATGCGACTCGCAATTTGTATGGATCTTCGAAACTTCTGATCGATAGTGTGCTTGTTTTTTGATGTTTTTTTTTTATTTCTTCGCTAAATTGCATTGAGCATGCCGTCACGATCACGTTGCAACAAACACAACTCGATTTCATGTCCGGGCGAAGATTTCATCATCTTGGGTTTTTGGCCAGAATTTAGAAATACGGCGGCCGAAATTTACAGCAACTTTATCGGCTTCGCACATGAAATCCGACCGTTCATCATGCACAGGGTTCGGATCAATGGTAGCCCTGGAGCTTAAGCACGCGATGGAACTGGTCTAGTGTCAATCCGATACGCGAGCGCCGTGATATGGCCGCTCGAGCGACCCGTGTCGCTACTGAATTTTCTGCAACAATCTTCACAAATTGCCAACTTCTCTTTACTTTTTCTTCCTACTCAAGCTTTGTCACGAGTAGTGTCACATATCAAAACGCTCGTCTTGACAAGACGAACACGCTCACCAAACTTGAGCACGATCCGACTCAAGACGAGTGGGATACGAGTCTTCAAAGTTGTTGCTCGTGACTGTGCAAACCAGTCTCCTTTATTGGATATTGGTGCAGGGAGGCTGCACAGGAATAGTGTGCGGCCTACCCCTTTTTTATGTTTCACTTATAACTTTGTCCTAGAATGTCCGTTTAAGCCGAAACTTGACTCCTAGGGGTTTTTGATCGTACCAAATCTAATGGCGGTGGTCCCACAACTGTTTGACGTACCGAAAATAGGGTTCTAGTTATGGGGTCTATTTCTGGGTGTGAGAAGATGATTTTCCAAAATTGTTTCTTTGTCTGCTTTGCCTTGGACATTTCAGATTGCGAGAAAACTTGGCAGGTGGCCTTTTGGAGTGCTTTGGAAGATTCTGACCCGTTCCGGGGCAATTCTGATACTATCGAGAATTCCACTGTATGCCAAGGTTTTATTGACCGGCCTCTCTTTTATTCTGCATCGGGGACTCAAGGCGCTGAAAAATGTGTTCAAACAAACCCCATTGAACGGAATATGATAAGAAGATCAGCTACTCGATATGTGTGTCATGATGGCACCTTATTCCGAATCTCTTACAACAGTATGCTACTTAGGTGCATTGATCAGAAATATGTGTACCCCGTGCTCAAGGAAGTTCATGCTAGAGTGTTTGGAATATATCAATTTGGCCCTAATCTGTACGACAAGATTGTCAGGATAGGCTACTACTGGCCTACTATGAGTTATGATTCTCTTATGTTCGCAAGGAACTTCTCAGTAAGTCAGATTCACTCAAGCTTCATTCATCAAGCTCCTAAACCTTTTCACCCAACAGTATCATCGTGGCCCTTTGCTCAGTAGGGAATGGCCATTGTAGGTCCTATCGACCCGCCATCTTTCACGGTGCATGTCTTTATACTTGCTGCGACATATTACTTCTCCAAATGGGTATAAGCCATCCCTCTCAAGAGTGTCCCAGGACTGCACCAACATATCATATATAGAGTCGGTGTGCCTGACCGAATCACTTTTGATAATGGTCCTCAGTTTTGAAGCAATCATATCGATTGTCTGGTCAACCAGTTCGGGTTTCAGTAGAAATATTCGACCACGTACCATCCAAGAGCTAATGGTCTAGACGAAGCTTTCAACAAGACCTTTTTTTATTCTTTAAGAAAGTTTGTCTCTGACACAAAAAGGGATTGGCATGAAAGGCTTTCTGAAGTTTTATGGGTCTATCGCATTACAGCTCAAGGTCCAACTCAGTTGACCCCTTATTATCTGATATATGCGGGTGAGGTTGTGTTACCTCTGGAAATATAGTTGTCATCACTCAGAATAGCTCTTCATTATAGGAGAACAAATGAAAAACGAGCGGCTCTTCGTTATCAGGAGCTCGATGCACTTGATGAAAAGAGGCTGCTGGCGCAACAAAGTCTTGAAATTCATAAGAACTGTATGCAGTGAGCTTTTGACAAATCAATCAAGATACATTCATTCATGAAAGGAGAATTGGTCTTGACAGTAAGAAGGCCGATCGTCACTCACAGTCGAGCAAAGGGGAAGTTCGAATCAAAATTGGAAGGACCTTTTCTGGTAAAGAAGGCTTTTCCTAATTGAGCTTACATACTGGATAATGCTGAAGGTGAAGAAGCTATGCCCCCAATCAATGAGATATACTTCAAAAACTATTACTCATATACATGATCCAAGCCACATGACCTTAAACTGCATGGCAATGGTCCAAGTTATATGACCCTAAACTATAGCACACATCCTAGTGGCATGATGTTAAACTACACCACATACGGTCTCAAAGTCCCGACCCTAAAATTGCCTTCACTAGGTCTTGGTGGTTGAAGTTAAACACATCAACTCTACGATCTCGACAACACCACCATAAAACTACCTTCACTTGGTCTTGGTAGATGACCCTAAAACACACCAAACCTTAAGCACACCTCCCCATGGTCACAGTAGCATGACCTTAAAATTGCCTCCTCAAAAAGATGGACATGGTGAAAACCTACAAGGGCGTCATGGGTAAAACAGTCAAAGAACAGAAAAAAGAAAAAAAAGGACAGGCGTGATAGTAACACCAGCTATTGCGAGTAAAATATGTCACAAATAAAAAATGGGAACTACGAAAAGTCACAAGGGCGCCGAGAGTAAAAATATAAAAACGGCAGGCATGGTGTAAAAACCATGGGCAAAAGGGCCACAAAAAATAGATACGGGTTTCTTGTGAAAACCAGAAATAACACATACCTTGTGGACTTGGGTGAAAATCCAAGAGAGCATTCATGCCACACATGCTGGAAATCAAGCAAGTCTCCATGCAAAGCAAGCCTCTAGGCTCATCTCTTACCCCTTTTTAGAGGAGACAAGGGTCAGTTACAAGAGATTAAGAAAGAAGAGTGCAAGTCATGAAGAAGAAAAGAAGAGCAAATTATAGAGCAAGAAGAAGAAAGCAAGCCAAGGATAAAAATAAGAGAATTCATAGACCCCTAGAAGTTTTCAAGCGCCTCGTGAATCTTGATCTTTAGCGCCTTCGACGACTCCAGTGCCTTCTTCATCTGTGATTTAAGATGGGACATTGCTTGAGAAACTTGGCTTGACATCGTGCTAGTCACAGCCACCTTGGAGTCCAAAGTCTCCAACTCTCGAGACTGACTCTGAACCTCTGCTCTCGTTTGCTTTTACCGAGTTTTCAATTGGTGGATGTCGGCATCCAACCTAGCTCTTTCTTCCTCTAAAGCTGCAATCTCCGCAGAGACGCTACATCTTCTTGCTTGAGGTGAGCTTGATTAGAAAGGAGGGTACTCTTTGTCTCTTCATATCGCCTCATGACACCATGATGTTGGGCTAAATTATCCTCTAGAGCACATGAGGCCCACATATCTCTTGCACCTCTGACTCGCATTGGGAGGCCTCAGCTCCCCAAAGTTTGAGCTTTGACAGAAGACTCTCATACTGATCAAACAGCCCTTATCATAGCCAACAGCCTTCAAGGCTGTAGCGCAGTCTCTAACTCCAGCAACCTTGACAGTCAGGGAGAAGGCACTCTCTTACTATTTCAAGACTTGATCATAGAAAAGACGCACTTGTCGAAGCCTTCACATCTGCTGTGGTGCTTGACATTGGGGCAAGCAAATAACTAGCTGTGACAAGAGGAGGAGGTTCGGCTAAGACAACCGGCTCTTGAGGAGCGAGAGCCGAAAGATCGTTCGAAGAGACACAAGGCTTAGGTACAGCCTCTACCACATGAGCAGGTTTAGTCTCTACATAAGAAATCGTAGAAATTGGTGCTTTTGAAGACAAAACTAACACAAGTTCCAAAGTTGCATTTGAAGGAGCAAATGTTTGAGGTTTTGCCTCTGAAATAACGGGAGCAGAAACCTCTGAGGTGGTTACAACTGGAGCCTCATCCATAACCTCCGGCTCAGCTTCAAGGATGTCTCCTTCCTCAGTAATGGTGCAAAGGAGGTCTCCCTGACTCAATGGTGAAAGATCTAGAGTTTGCTCTATCACAGGCTTGACAGGTCTCTCGGCAAGAGGTGCCTCTTTTTCTACAATAAGGGGAGGAGCACTCTCAACTTGGCGACTCAACTTGAAAGATGTCTGACCAGATATACTTGGTTGCGTCTTGACAACTGTAGATACAATCTTTGGAATAGGAGTTGTTGCCTCTAATATATGAATTGGGCTGGAGGTAGCCCCCATATTCACACGCTTCTCGGGCCTAGGAGGTAGTGTAACTCCTTCACTTGAAGTAACCGGAGCCATAGGACGTATGATCGGACTCGACATAGTATTTTTTCTTATACTCTTCTCGGGAACCTTAGGAGCTGTAATAACAATGGCTTCAGAGACCTCTACAACCTTCTTCTTTCTTAGCCTTTTCTTCTTTGATCCCTGCTCTGGGATCTCTTCAGCCATTGGCTCTGGAGCAACCTCTGTGGGCTTCTTTCCACGATGAGGTCTGGCAGGGGAAGCAGAATGGGGCTCACTCCCCATCAATATATTCAGGTCTTAGACAGGACGACCTTCATGGCTAGAGACAACATGACCCTTGGTCCATTCAAAGATAAAACAAAGGCCATCAAAAAGTGATCTGGTCTCCCTCAAGAGAGAGATATTGGATACCAGCAAGATCCACTGCTATGGAGCGGGCTGCGCCAACTCTCCTCCAGGGTCGAGGGTAATCCAATTCATAGATTTTGTTGAGAGCTGGAGGCACAAAGTTCTTCTCGTGCCGGTCTCACGCTTGGTGCTATTAATGACCTTCCATGTCTAGCTCGCCTACTAATCCGAGCAGTTGGTGACAGTCCACCATCGACAGTGGCCTTCAGTGGCGTGGCCTATGCAACCATAATGAGGAACAAGAAATTTGCTTAAACCCGTGAGACTCAGGCACATCTCCCAATCCATCCTCATTTTCTCGTCTGTCCAAGACTCTTTGCTGCCCCCTAAAAGATCATGGTCTTGATGTGCCCCTTTCTTCCCATACTTCTTTTCAAAGAGCAACCCTGATCAAGACCATGTTGACAAGAAAACCTATGAGGGATATACCCCTCCAACTTCTGTCCCCGACACTTCGAAATGGCAAGATACATCCCCTAAAACTTAAGAGATACATTATTACTTTAGTCTCAGTGGTACACCCATCAATAACCTCACTGGAAAAATCAATATATACAAGGTCAATGAGACCACTTACTGGGAATGGACTACGCTGAGAAAAGAAAGAAGCACTAGCATAAAATTTGAGCGCTTCACCCAGGCCCCCAAAAGTGGCTTTCATGCCTGCAATCTGTGGCATCTGTGGGCAAGTAAATCCTAAAAGATCCTCGTTGATCTCAGATGCCCTTATAAAATACGCAGAAAGCCAACCAAATATGTAATGAACTACGACGCTTGTTGTGAAGCGCCAGGAAGTACTTCCCCTCCTAAATATTAACTTTTGCTATTCTAGGTTGCAGCTTTACCACGTGCAATTGCTCCTAAGCCGTGGTATATGCTACAAAGTATCAGCTGAGCTAGGGTATACTCATGCCCCTAAGCAAGCCGGCCCACTACATAGAAGCAGTCGGAACGAATGACATTACCATTTGACCTTGAAAGTGCGAATTTGCACAAGAAAAGAGTCAAATAGGCAGCCAAGTACACCTGATCTTTTGCAGGCCATCTAAGGGGGTTCACATGATCCTTGGTGTCCTCTTCTTCTCCCACCCCTTAATCATCATCATCCTAGATGACGCCATAACTGGGTTCCCGCCTGTCGCAACGGTCCTCGTGAAAGAAGTCTCTCCATGCTGTAAAATACAAAACCTTAGACTTTCTCTTCACTTCCTTGTCCTAAAAAATCACCTCGTTATCGGGGATGAACTCCTCATTCATGAAGCCCAGCATCGATAGGCCACCAATAAAATGCATGTCGAGGAGAGTGATGCCCCCTCACTTAGATCCAAGTGTCAGCTATTGGTTTTGTATCACCAGGTTTCCAACAATGCCTTGATAGTGTTGGAACACCTATCATAATAGCTAGCTAAGCACTGGCATGCTGCAGCCAGACCACATGCCTCTAAAGCCCGAGCATGTGATTCAAGGGCATCAAATGTCCAAATGTTGTACCTCCTCAAGTATTGGAGCTCCCCTGCAAAACGAAGTCCACCAGATGCCCAGTGCAACCCTTTCTTTGCCAACATTCTCTTGCCTAGAGTGAATCAAAATTCCTATGAGAGCATGGTATATCGGTCTACCATCTCCTTGAAACACGGACTCGCCATGCTCATCTTCATAAAGATAGAACTGCACATCTTCACCCACATTGGTGATGCTTAGTGGCCACTCCAACTTCCGAGTGGGCTCGAAAACATATAGAGTAGTGGATCTCACAAAGGAAGCACCTGTATATTTACAAGTGCCCAATTCTCCAGGGCACGGTAATTGGGGCACATCAAGAATTTTGCCTACAAGAGAGGTACATGAGAAAAAGATGAGCAAATTGACAAGACATATAAAGGCATCAAAAATCTTGGAAACTTTCAACACCATCTCCCCTATATGCATAGGGCTGGCAAAGAAGGTGCATGGCTAGCCCAAAGCACTTGGGAGATTCTAAGAAGTCACGAGTCGGACGACCCTGAGAATTTTTCTTTTTTTTTGACACAAGAATGCCTCAAGAATACTAGAAGTGCATAACTATGCATGACAATACTTAAGAATGCACAATTGTGCAATGGGCTGCATGAATATACTCAAATATTCTTAACTACACCAGAAAATGCATGACAGTGCTCAATAAGTGATCACAAGAATTTTGGGTGGCATAACTATGCATTAGAGGTACGTTATGCATTAGAGGTACGTCTTTATGAACAAAGAAACGCATGAAAGTGTTACAAAGATGCTTGAGTTGGTAAGGCATACATAAGAATGTGCTGCAAGATAGGCATGATGGTTGCAGAATTTTTAGTGACATTCAAAGCATTTGCATAAAAAACGTGTTCTTGGAGTGCTCAAGAGATGCTGCCAGCTGTGATCAATGCACTACAGGAAAATTGGCATTGTTGTCATGTCCCAAGTGCTCAAAATGGATAAACACCCAATCCAAAAGCATGGGGTATAACAGACCAAGCAACAGTTACAAAAATCCAAGTGTGCTTATGGCACTTATAGAATTTTTGTGATAATCGCAGGGTCATATGTGGGTTATGATCAAAGTTCATAAAGTGCAGTCATGTTTACAAGGGTGCAACCAAGGTTCATGATGAACATACTCTGTTGTGACAATCAGTCACTGTCCATATGGTGAGCAATACAATGTTCATCGTGAACATGGTGTGAGAAGATCAAGAACAACTATAACATTTGGGTCTAGTGTTCATGTTCAATAACACTTAAGCTCATAAGCCTTGATGAGAAATGTAAAGTGGTGCTCGTGATGACCGAGTGCATCCACACGGTGATGGTAAATGTTCTAAATTCATTCATGAAGCTTATTCATGTTCATAAGTCTACAACAAGATGTTCAATACAAACCACTCTATGCCATGGCTAAAAAAAAAAACAACACAAGCTTATGGTCTGTGATCAGATGACTGCTCATATGGTGCAAGATGGTGATAGACAAGGTACAAGCACACCCGTGACATTTGAACAAGGAGGTGATGCCCGATAATGCATAACAGTGCCGAATGAAAGCTCAAATAGAAAGTACAATGTTGAGCATGACCGAGATGGTCACAATGCTCAAACATGCCCAAACACAGTCACGACCAAGACAAGTATGTTTAAACACACTCAAGAGCACCCCAAGGGGCAAGAAGGCGCACGGTGTGGCCAAGGTGGATGCATGAGGCAGCTAAGGCATGCCTGGGACGAGCATGATCGAGAGGGTCATGACGATGAGGCGCACCCAAAGACATACCATCATGATGAAAGAGGATGAAAGACCATGAAATATGGTAAAATTGTGCTCAAAGGAAAGCCAAGATGTCAAAGTTATGGCAAACGGAACCACTCGGGCATAACATCAAACATCTGGTGCACAATAGAAAAGTAACACGAGAAGGGCGATCCAAATTTTTGATCAGGCATGGGCAAGAAAAAAGAAGGGTCATGAAAAGAGAGAATACCTTTGGGATGACGGGAACTTGTGCTGGCCATGGCCATGACTTCAAAAATTGCTCACCAAAGCTTTCTCTCTCTCTCTCTCTCTAGTGAAACTTGGAGGGGTAAAAATCTCTTTTTCTTACCGACTATAAAATCTTTGGGTAAAACCCTCGGCGCGGGCCTGTCATTTCTTTTTTACCTCCCTCCCTGTCATTCGGTACAAAACCCCTGCCCGCGCCTAACCGCGGGTCCGTCAATCTTGGCACATCCTTACCCTTCCTTTTTCTTTTCTTTTCTTTTTTTTTGTTAGAACTCACCTACCTGCGCCTAGGTGTGAGCCCGTCAAATTTCATCTCTCTCGTTCAGTAAAAGCCCTGGGCTCATGCCTAATCACAGGCCCATCAAATTTCATTATGCCACTCTTTTTCTCACTCATCAACAGTTCCCTGCCCATACCTAGGTGCACGCACGCAAATTGCACTTCACCCCTCTCTCTCCTTTTCGTCAAAAGCTTCAGGCCCGTGCCTAGCCGCGGGCACGATTACCCCTCTTTCAATTCACTTTTTTCCCATCGCAATCAACTTACACGAGCCCATGGTTTAACCATGAGCTCAACACACACTTGTGCACACTTTACACAAGGTGAACAAAAGAGCTATGCTCCTTGTCTTACCTACACACACTAACCCCTCAGTAGGTAACCCCAAGGCTAGGTGAAGCCCAGAACTTTGAGCTCAGTAGCCCCTTTTTTTTTTTTTTTTCAAAACCCTCTCATCACAAACCATGGATTTGTTAATCCAGTGTAGCCCAGGGTTCAGTGTAATGAATTTTAAATAAACTCTAAGGATATTTTGGTTTTTTCAACTCCCAATGGAGTCATATCGTTGATATTCCTAATCCTCACTAGGAATACATTGAGATATACAGTTACATTAAAACTTCAAAATCAAACTCAAGCCTATCATTGGGGTTGACACATGCTGTTTAATGGAAAAACCTGATGGCTCACAAAAACCATGGGAATCCTAAAACCATCCCATTCACCAACTCTGTCTCCATCACAAACCATCCTACCAGCCCTTGTTCACTTGGGCTTCAACTTACAACTCCATTATCCCAATGGAGTTATACCAAACATACTCCACCTATTTGAACCTTCACAAGACCCCATAAGAGATATCATGCTCAGAGTACCATAAGAACCCCTAATGATACTCCATCCCCAGTAGGCCACTACTTCAAGTGGACTATCACCCTTAGTGGTCCATCACCTTGGACGATTCATCATCGCCAGTGGACTACTACCACCAAGGGACCATATACCCTAACGGTCCATCTCCCTCAGTGGTTTGTTATGCCTGACGGACCAACATCCCCAGTGAGTCACCACTTTTAATGGTCTATCTGGTCCATCCACCACAACAAACCACCATCCCAATAAACCATCATCCCAAGGGTCTAATACCCCATTTGATCCTTATTACCCCAGTGGAAAGTCACTATTCTCAATCCACTGCTACCCTCAGTGGTGGAAATATATGTTATCCCTAGGGAGTTTCATGCATCATAATCAACTGGTCCATCTCAAACCCCAATACCCAGCAAGCATGAACCATTCATCACCTTGCAAAACCTAGAGCATCCCTAGTGATGTCCACTTCCCTCAATAAAAGCCTCACCTATGGTATTTATTATCTCGGTGAGCCTTATGCAGATATAATCCCATTGTTCTATGCATCGTCAAGGGGGAGGATTTATCTAAAAAGAAAAAAAAGCCAGGCATGATGAGCATCCGATGAGGATCGTCATAAATAAAAGTGAGAGCTTCCAGGGGACATAGACACGAAGCTATGGATAAGATTAGAAAAAAATAAATTGGGCATGGTGAAAACCCGAAAGGGCAACATGAGTAAAAATAAAAGACGGGCATGGCCATGAAGCCATGAGTAAAAGTGATCTAAAAGAAACCGGGCATGGTGAAAACCTGAAAGGGCGTCATGGGTAAAAATGAAAATAAAAGGTGGATGTGACCACGAAGTCACGTGGAAAAGAGCCTCAATAAAAGAAGAAATTTGTGAAAAATGTTTTTACGACACCGTTTCTATCCAGTTCAGGTGAAAACCCGAAAGGGCGCCCGAACTAATAAGCAGGATGATGCAGCTTTTGACCAAAGACAACTTCAACCGAGAGCAGCAAAAGTCTGATGGTTTAGGAATCGATACCTCTAGTGGATACCTTACCATCGAAACCAAAAAGATCTTAAGAAAATCCAACAGCTTGGGTTTAGCTTTGGCAAAAACCCCATGAAGATCAGAATAATCATTAAGATGGAAAGTCAAGATAGCCATTTGTTGAAGAGATTCTCCAATCCAAGATGCTAACAAAAAACAAGAAGAATGTTTTGACAACCCGAGATAGAAGTTCTTACGAGGAACTTGATTGCCCAACCAGAATCGATGCCCTGGTTCCGAGGGTAACTGTCCTAATTAAGGCTCTCATTGCCAATAGGTTTAACTTTAGGGTAAGCCACCATCGTACAGCTGACTAAGCCTGGTATATCGAGCATACGCCCCAAAAGAGATTGTCTTACTAAGGCATCCATTGCCGACAGGCTTCGACTTTCAAGACAGGCTGCCAAAAATCCCTTGCCTAAGCCCGGTACATCGGCTGTAAACCCCCAAAGAGACACTCCCTATGCCATCAGTCCAAATCCTAGTGAAGCAGTTTTACACCCCATTAAGGGTTCTCCTCGGTTGACTATCCAAAGCAACATAGAAAAATCCAAGGTTCAGTGTAAATGGGGAGAAAGCTCTAAAGCAAGGCACCCCACCACTAGCCTCTCCAAGAAACAAACCCAAGGTTCATCGTAAACGAGGAGGAAAGCCCTTAAGCAAGGCATCCTACCACTAGCCCTTCAAAAGACAGAGTTCAGTGTAAGCGGGGAGAAAGCCCTTAAGCAAGGCACCCCACCACTAGCTCTTCAAAGAAAAACCTGATGGATTGGGAAGTAAGTCTCCACGTAAGGCCCCCGATTGCCAGACACATCTGGATTCTGATAACAGTGGGAAAGAAGCCCTTAAGAAAATACGGGTCTGCCGCAACTGTGCTTCAAAGAGCTACAGTTTGGTACAAGTTTTATGCGTGATCAGAAGCCGGATGATACGAAATTTGAGCTTGAAGAAAGGCATACTTTTTTGTTTGCCAGAATCTCATTTTCCAGCGACCTCCCAAATTTGGAATATGCTTAAATGGAGGCCAAAACGGACGAAAATTACTGTAAAATGATTGTGATAATGTCCTCTTCAATTTGTGATAAAAATGAAGACTTGGAACATTATAATCAACCTACATTGATGGATGAGGAATTGTAAAGTTTATGGATTTGGCCGGATTTTGGGTTCTTCCTAAAAAATATGTTTCAAGACGATCAAAGGGTATCAAAACGTTAACAAGCATACAAGCATCGATTCTACGATGATTGATCGCCCGAATTAATATTGTAGGTGTCTGAAAAAGCTCCTGAAGACTAGCAATAGAAATGGGCCCCTCATAGAGGGATGGTTTTGTCATTTGTTGAAAAGTACTTAGGGGTATTTTGGTCATTTGGTCCAAACAGAGGGTGATTATTTTAATTCAATAAATGTGTAGTTTTTTTAAAATTTTGGGTACTTTTGAGTATTCCACTCTTGTTTAGTGGTTGCTCTATATAAGGAAACCCATGTCACTTGCAATAAGGTATTTGAATGATTCTTGAAAGTTAAGTCATTAGTGATCAAGCTCTTGCTTGTTCTTGTGCTTTGATTTCAAATTCAAGACCATGGAGTGACGAGAGATAAACATTTTTAAGAGAGAGAAAATACCCTTAGGCCATCATACACCATAGCCCATTCCATACACCATACCCCATCCTCTACACCACACACTACACCCAGCCCTAACACCTTCTCTCTCATGTGCATGCAAAGGGACTTATGGTTGTGCACTTAGGTTTACACACATCCTAAGTCCACTCTCTCTCCTCTCTATCTCTCTCATCTCTTTCTTTCTCTCTCTTTTTTCTTTTTCACCCACTTGCTTTCTCTCTCTTCCCTGCATGAGTTCAAAGCGGGCTCGTGCACTTCCCCTCTTTCCTCTTCCCTTCTCTTCTTCTTCTCTCACTTCCTCTCATATGAAGTTTCGGACCTGTGTCTAGGGCAGGCCCAGCTTCCTTTACTACCTCTCTCGTCTTACTAAGACCTAACACCCTCACTCTCGTGGCGGCACTTAATAGCTATCTACCCTTACTCATGCATGTGTCATACTTTATGCACTCCTACCCACGCTTTGCTTCATGCACTCCTACCCGCATATTAACTCAGCATAATCCTGTCGCACTTTACTTCATGTGCCTTAACTCAGCATACTCCCGCCCACGCTTAACTCGGTATCTTTCCACCTGTGCCCAACCTTGCACACCCCTGTGCATGCCTAGCCATGTGCACCTCTACCCCTGCATGTTCACTTACACACATCATCACCTAACTCTTCCCTCATTTACATCCTAGCCCCCATTCATGCTCAACACATACCTTTACCCCCTCATGTCTCTACACCTCCACCCGCACCTAAACCTTATACGTACCCACGCCTAAGTCACCCCTCGTACCCGCGCCTATACACGTACACCTGCTCGCTCGCTCTTTAATACCTGCACACCTTCACACGTCCCTAATTCATATTAAGCCCTACCCGCGGTTACACACCGTATAGTCTCCAACCAACCTATAAACATCCACATTTGTCATCCTCTCTTCCCTAAGACACACTCTTCTAATCCTTGATTTATTTTTCTATTCCATCATCTTCTAATCTCGTCTTTTTAATTGGTTGCTTCTCTCATTGCCTAAAACACTCAACTTGAGGTTATCCAGAGATAGTGTCTTAGGGTCCTCATTCTGGGATCACTACTCTAACTACCTTCTCGTATAATGAATGCAGGTCGTAAGAGGTATTGCTTCTCTTTCACCCATTTACTCGAGTTGGAGTCATCCTGAGTTAGTTTTCTTAGAATTCGTATCCTCTCACTACTCTAACCACCAAGTAATACAGTGTTCAGGCTGTGATAGACTTCCTTCTCTCTCATCTTCTTTCCTATATTTCATCATTTCTCTCCTTTCCATCTCTCTCTCCCTTAAATCATTTAGAGCCACTCATCCTTTTAACGATACATCAAAGAGGAGCATACTTTATATGAACTCTATCAGCAGTTTCTTAATGTGAGATTCTGAGGTGAGGTGATGAGTTTTCGAGAGGGGGTCATGTCCAAACCGAGCTGCTGGACAGTTGGAGGGCTTTCGCGTGTTGATCTAAGAGGACATTTGCATACGCTTATTCCACGAACTCAAATTGTGGTGAGATAAGTGCACTAGTCCATATTTTCACTACTTTTAAAATCCTCTCACAAGTTGGACATACCTATCAGCAAAGTGATGCACAAGCCGCACAAGAAACCCGTGCAAAGTCACACAGTTGTTTGAGAGGGGTCCAATCCAACCCAAGCCCCCGACCAGTAACCATTATCCTC